GAAGTGAGGTAATTACAACATCTGGCAAAACAACAGGGTTTCCTTCTAACTGTTTGGCTGTATTGCCTGTATCAGAGTCTACATTTATGATGTCACTGCTCCATTTTGCACAAATAGGCTGAGTGCAAGTGCTCCATACATCCACCAGTTCAATGAACCACAGTGTGATAACCAGTATTAGTATCCAGCGCAACAGTTTGCTGAAGGAAATGTAAAACCGCCACTGAAAAGCCAGTATTACCAAACTAATGCCTAAAACTAATCCTGCTATTATATTTATTTTGAATCCAAACGGGAAAATTGCTCTATTATTTGTTATCTGCTCTCGTACAGCTTCAGTGCCTAGACCAAATTTGATAACTTTGTTTTGATCAGCTACCTTGGCAAAGCCACCAAATCCCAAATAATTGAACCTTGTCCTCAGACTGTGATATTCAGTCACAATGGAGACAATATTTTCACTGTTGTTGACGTTTAGAAAAATTTGAACTCCATATTTGGAATCATCTATGAATCTGCAGTTAGAAACATTAACATATGGTCCATAGAACACATATGCGATTCTTGTAACAGTGGTTTTCATAGGAAAGGTGACGTTTATGAACTGAGTCCACCGCTTTTTGAACTCTGCTGCTTGCTCTGCCTCTTGTATCCTGGCAACAGGACTACTCCCATGATGATCAAACCAAAACATCTTGTAGTGAGCATCCCACACATCCATCATGGCTCCACTATATTTGTTCATAAACTTATAGGGTATATATTTAAAATCAATGTCAAGATTATGAAAGAAGGCACTGACAGAGCTGAGGGGAGAGTCTTTCTCCTTCTCAATATGGTCTACTACTAGCAATGTCTGAGCATTTAGGAGTAGCAAAGTACGATACACGCTTTTCAGTTTCATTGCAGAAGAGTAGGCAGATGCTGCCTCACCACTCACAAACATCATCTCCCCATACTGAGAGGCTGTTATAATCTCCCCAGCTGAGTCTCCAACCTCATCACCAATCCACTTAAGCCACTGTGCACACTCCCCAAGTTGTCCCTCCCAAGGTTGATTACACTGACTTGTAGGAGATGGAGCAAACACCAGTACATTATTCAAGTGGCTGAACTTGGGTCCATACAGGGCCTCAGATACAAACACCTGTCCATTGGGGGCAAAAGTAAAGGAGTTCTGATCTGGATGTTCATGCCCTGGATTAAAACTCCTCCACCCATCAATCCAGGAATATGGCTGAAAGTGAACTATGTCATAGACTGCACGGCCACCAAGCTTTCCAGATTTAAAAGACACAAAGGTGTTGGTCTGAGTATTTGGCAACCCAGCCCCATAAGTAACAACCCCCCAGTTAGGAAACACATGCATCTTAGCAGTGCCATAGTCAGGGGGAGGTTGGGGAGTTAGTTCTGCAGCATACCAGATGTATTCAGTGTGAAGTGTGCTCCACCTTTGTGCAGTGGATGGCACCATTGGGCCATCCTTGGGCCTGTGCTTTCTAATCTGTTGTGCCAGCCAATTGCCAGCTCCATTCTTCATTACAAATTTATCCAGGAAAACCAACTGGCTTTCAGGGCCATAAAACCAGTTATAATTAGAATCTGCTATGCCCACAGTCCTCCGATAACCTGGTAACAATGTGGAATAATAAAACCAAAAGTGCATTTTCAGCCAATTGTTTTCTAGGTTATTAATACCAAAATGGCGCTGGGCCAGGAAAACATATTGGGTTACTGACTTAGCTGTGTAACTGCCATAAGCTACTCCTTCATCCAAAGAGCCATCTACAATGTGATTGAGCAGAAACATGGTTTTTTCCATCACATCAACCACAGCATGTTTCCAAATATTTGTCTGAGACTTTTTGTCCACCCCAGTAACCAGGGCGCCTGTGAGCAGTGCTAGCATATTAGTGGCTTGGTGGTTATGGAGAAGTTGCTTTCCCCATGAGCGGACTTTTGAATATTCATACATTTCCTCACTCACAACCCATATCTTCTTTAGATATTTTTGTCTTCTGATGTTATCCAGTGAGCTATATAAGAAGTCAAAAGCAGTGGCAAAACCTGTTAAGGAGTGGCCAAGTGGCACTTCATCTCCTGGAGCATTCTCAACCAGCCAGTCTTTGTAGCCAGCCATTCTGTCCATGTATTCTAGAACAAAATCAAAGGCAGCTTTATCTTCCGGGCACAGCAAACAATAAAAAGCTAAGGGAGGCAGATTGTTACCATAAATCTCATTCCACTTTGCAGCAAAATCAGCATGCTTGGGTGGAGGTAGGTAGTATGATGGGTTGGACAGCATAACCGTTACTGCACCTCTGATAGCTCTGAACAGATGTAAGTGGCTTGTATGAGACTTTTGCCTCAGTGCTTGGATATCTTCAGCATCAAAATATAAGCTTGGATGAAGAACAGCTTTTTTCAGCTTCTCGTCAGCACTGAAATCTTGCAGTTTCTGTTTCTCATACTGATCCATATTTTCTGTGAAAGTCACCCAGTCAGAGTAATTGCTCACAGAGTCTTCAAAAGTGGAGAGAGCAAACATCGCTAACCCTAGGAATAAAATATGTACTGTAAACATAAGAGCCATGATCCATTAGACAGTTCCTTCCCTTCAAGCAAACATCTTTACAGAACACAGTGTTCAGATGTTAAATGTTGATCCAGCTAATATAACAGTGTGCATTTAAGGCATTTCTGCTTAAAAAGAAAAGAATAAGATAGACTCGCTGCTCAGCCTATTTGCAATCTGAAGTACAGTACGGAAAACAAAACAAAGGATTTCTGAAAAGTTGAACCACAGGTGCCTTGTCTGTCTGTCCTTTGCACAGCTACAATGGTAAAGCATAACACATAAAACTAAAGGGAAGGTAAAGTCGCTACATTTTTCATGTGAAACACAGTCTGATTACACAACTCAAGGGACTAAAAAACGTAGTATCTTTTTTGCTGAAAAGCAAAAGACCCCAAAACTTGAATTTAAAATAACTGAATTCACACAAAAATCTTTCCCTCTCACACTCTGATAAAATGCCATTCCCAGAGTAGGAAAAAACTGCACTGATGATGAAATCATAACAGCTATTCAGAACAATGTTTTGTTTTTGCTGAAGTAGAAATGCTCAGTACTTTCTACAATAGACTCAGATGTTAAATTTACTCTCCTTAGCCTTCCTGTTCTCTCATTTGTATACAAAATTTTCTTCTTCATAGGCTTGAGAGGGTGAAAATGGGGGAGGAAAAGAACAAAATTTCTCCATTAGCCTCTCTCTCTCTCTCTCTCTGGAAAAATATACAACATTTCTAATTCCTGTTCATGTCTATTTGTGGAAGGTTTGTTTGGATGAATAATCATAAAATACACAATATGCTCTCATGTCATTTTCTATTTATCTTCATTTCATCTTCAACTTGTGAAATCCACCCTATGTCTCAATGGTTCTGATGATTCTACTCTTCCCATCATGAAGTAAAAGTAAAACACTTGGACGGGGCACAAAGCCAGTGTTTTTCCACCAAAAGAGCTGTTTCCGTTTTCTGTTGGCTTTGCATATTTGATCCTTTCTGTGGAAACAAACAAAAAAAAAAGTTCTCTGATGTAGTATAGATCTAAAAATATATTCTACAAATATTTAAAATGCATCACAAAGAATTTCCAGGTTCTCATCTACAGTAAATGCTAAGGCTATAAAGGAGCAATAAAAGAACAAGCTTGTCAAAGTCTGCTCACTAAATTTAGCTTCATGATCAAAGCAGAATTAACTCATTACCTGAGTTTCTATTTTATTTTTACTTTTTCCAAGTTGTCTGAAACTGCAAGGCCTGAGAAATTATTTTACCTTTTTACATTAGCAGAGTTCACGTGAACTAATGCAATTGTAATACTCCATTAGAAAGAAAGAACGGGCTTCCCTTCCAAACAATCGTTCCAGTATGTGTCTGTATATTCTCCTTATCACTTAAAAAAAGTCAAGATATTAACATTTTCCCAAGTTTCTCAACCCTTTATTTTTACAGAACCTAAATCATACAAGCACATATACTAGATGCCCTGCTTCTAAGGGTGAAGCCTGTTTTTCCTAGGGCTCTTCTCCTTAAGGGAACATATATCAAAAGTTGGTTATTACTCCATGTGCACTGTATACTCCTTACCAGTGCGGCCACATAGTGTATATTTGACTGAAGCCATCAGAGGGCGCTATGAACCAATTAGTGCACAGCAGAATTTCTCCTTTTGCTTATGTTTGGTTTGGACAACTTAACAAGTTTCGGTTGCAAACTGTACATATGTTAAACGCATCAGGGATAGTCTCAGCTGACCTCTCACGCTACTTCTGCGACCAAATCCTCCCCAGCTCTCCTCTTTTTGCACTTGTGCAGGTTTTAAAATACAAGGCCATCAGCTTACCTTAGCAGTCTCTCTCGTCAGTCTCCCGCTCCATGCGGACAGAGCACCGGAGCTTGGGGCAGAAGAGCGGAGCAAAGTGCTGAAAAGAAAACAGCAGGCTGCAGCGTCGTCCTCCCGGGCGCCCTCGGCTCTTCTCCGTGTGCTTTGCTCTGAGATCTCAACTTCAGACAGGACCGCGTGAACTTCAGCTACTTGTCAGGCAGCTCGGCCGCGCAACGGGGCCAGGGGGCCCGCCCCCTTCACCAACGCGGGGACTGACTTCTGGGGGTGGTTCGTAAAGATCCACAAGTGCCGGCAGATCGCGCTCGCTCGCTCTCTCCAATAGTTTCAAACTGCTCCCCAGAGCGAGCAAGCGGACCGGGGCAGCCGCTGCTATAAAATAATCGCCGGACGCGGGGAGAGAGGGCGGGGGTCCGGTAGGGAGAAAGCACAGCAATACTCCCCAGAAGAGTTAGCTACCCCTGCGGCGGGCTGCAGTGCCCTTTTGCCTGGGGGAGCGGCTCTAGCTGCTGCTGCGGGCGAGCCCGCGGCTGTCTCCAGAGCGGAGCCTCCTCGCCTGCCTCCCAAGCCGCTGGGCACGGCCGCCTCTGCGCCTCGCTGTGCAGCCCAGCCGCTGGGGCTGGGAGTCGAGAGGCAGCTGCGGAGAGGAGTGAGAGGGAGGCAGCGCGGCGGCAGCGTTGCCAAGGCGGGCGGGGCTAAGCCGGCTCACAGCCCGTCCTGCTCTTGCTCGGCTTCTGCTCCAGCTCCCCCGGCGGCCCGAAGGAGCACGTGCGAAGGGTGCGTGCAGAGCCCCTGCCTTTACCTTGCCCCGAGAGCGCCGCTCCAGCGGGAGGGAGGGGGCGTGGGGAAGGAGGGACAGGGATGCTGGGGGGATAAGGAGCTGAGTGGGTGGAGGGGCAGATTGTGGGTGGAGGGAAGGGCAAAGAAGATGGGTGGATGGGGAGGGGGGTCTGGAGGAGGGAGGGAAGTTGGGGGTATGAATTGGGGACACTGAGGGACTTAGGAGCAAATCAGATGGTCAAGTTAGTAGACAGAGAGATAAACAGCTGTTAGCTCCTGCTTGGAAGGAGCCTGAGATATGCAACCTCCTGGTTACCTGTCATAAGATCATCATTTTCAGGATAGATACATAAAAAGAAAAGGAGGACTTGTGGCACCTTAGAGACTAACAGATTTATTTGAGCATAAGCTTTCGTGAGCTACAGCTCACTTCATCGGATGCATGCAGTAGAAGATACAGTGGGGAGATTTTATAAACACAGAGAACATGAAACAATGGGTGTTACCATACACACTGTAAGGAGAGTGATCAGGTAAGGTGAGCTATTACCAGCAGGAGAGAAAAAAAAAACCTTTTGTAAAAAACCTTTTGTAGTGATAATCAAGGTGGGCCATTTCCAGCAGTCGATAAGAACATGTGAGGAACAGTGGGGTGGGAGGAGGGAAATAAACATGGGGAAATAGTTTTACTTTGTGTAATGACACATCCACTCCCAGTCTTTATTCAAGCCTAATGTAATGGTGTCCAGTTTGCAAATTAATTCAAATTCAGCAGTCTCTCATTGGAGTCTGTTTCTGAAGTTTTTTTGTTGAAGAATTGCAACTTTTAGGTCTGTAATCGAGTGACCAGAGAGATTGAAGTGTTCTCTAACTGGTTTTTGAATGTTATAATTCTTGACATCTGATTTGTGTCCATTTATTCTTTTACGTAGAGACTGTCGGTTTGGCCAATGTACATGGCAGAGGGGCATTGCTGGCACATGATGGCATATATCACATTGGTAGATGTGCAGGTGAATGAGCCTCTGATATTGTGGCTGATGTGATTAGGCCCTATGATGGTGTCCCCTGAATAGATATGTGGAAACAGTTGGCAATGGGCTTAGCTGCAAGGATAGGTTCCTGGGTTTGTGTTTTTGTTGTGTGGTATGTGATTGCTGGTGAGTATTTGCTTCAGGTTGGGGGGCTGTCTGTAAGCAAGGACTGGCCTATCTCCCAAGATCTGTGAGAGTGATGGGTCATCCTTCAGGATAGGTTGTAAATCCTTGATGATGCACTGGAGAGGTTTTAGTTGGGGACTGAAGGTGATGGCTAGTGGCGTTCTTTTATTTTCTTTGTTGGGCCTGTCCTGTAGTAGGTAACTTCTGGGTACATAACTCCTTAAGTCAATGGCTAAACTTTCATTGTCTGCAGTGAAGCTAGGATTTAACTCTGTGACCTAGGGACCTGTTGATGCCAAGCTGGCAAAGGGCACAGGAGGTGCATAGAGTTTTACATGACCCACTGAGTCAGATGCATTCATAATAATACCCTAACCTGTGACATCTGAGGTCTCTACTGGTCATCGTAACCACTGTGAGAGGCATGTATGCATAATAGTTAAGGAGTTATGTATCTATATCAGTGATACACAGAGGTCTTCCAAGGAATATATCAACTCATCTAGATATTTGTCTAGTTTTATAACAGGCTACATAAAAAGCACCAGTGAAGTCAGTACAAACTACAATTTCATGCAAACAAAGTGTCACACGTTCACAGTCTCAAACTCCTCCTACAAGCCCAGAGCAGCTGCTTGCCTGCCCTAAAATAAGGAACAGTGAAATAGTTAACAATGGGGATAATTGCATTGACTTTACACTTCAGACTCAACACTCAAAGGAGATGATGGGGGAATACTGTACCTCTTTAATCCATTGTCTCTATCTTGTTTGCACCTCAGGCAGATCAGGTTCCATCAGTTCAGGTTAGTATTATTATTTGTATTACTATAGCACATAGGAGCCCTAGGCATAGGCCAGGACCTTATTGTGCTCGGTGCTACACAAACAGAAAAACAGGGTGATCCTTGCCATAAAGAGTTTACATTCTAAGTACGGTACAAGACAAGAAACAACCATTGGATACAGACAGGCAGAGGCTACAATGAAACTATAGAACAAGTCTACTCTTTATATTTATCAGAGAATATGCACCAATATAAGGACACCAAGATTATCAGCAAATGCGTATTCAGAAACAGAACTTACCTGCTGCTCCAAAAATCACAGGTTTCTATCTCTTGCAATATCAATTTAGCAATAGTAGAGCTTATGTTTTCCAGCAAGTCAACAGAGGGCAATGTAATTACAAGGTGATATATGAGAGCATGTCATTTCAATACAGGACAGTAAACATAAACTAGTATGTTACATACGATCTGCATACAAAAATGTAGTTCTCCACAATACATTATTCTTTTCTAAATAATCTATTTTCTGATTTTTTTAAATCTGTGTTACTCATCAGTGATTTGGCCCTCTCACAATTTGGTATGAAACAAAGATAATTTGTTGTTTAATTAGAAATAAAGAATGCAGCAATGTATGTGCTTGTGTTTTAATTCTTAATGTAAAACAGTTAACATTTTAATAGTATTTCACCTTTTATACCAGCATTGTACAAATAGTGCAGGTATGAATTATGCACTAACAATAATGCTAAGCATAGTCAATGAGTTCACTTTTAATTTGATAGCCTAATTTTAAATGTAATTAACTTGTTACACAGAAAAAGTGCTTTTTTCACAACCATAAAGGTTGTTACCATTAAAATAAAAGCTTACATGTTGCAGAAATTAAGGGGCCACCAGAGAAGTACCTGTATACCACTAAGTATTGGATTAGTCTAACCCTTCTTTGTAATATTTTCTACATTGAAGACCTATTTCTATGATGCACTGGAATGGCTCCTGGTCAGTTTTAGCTCTGGGGTCTTGTTCCTGAGTGCCTTTCTGAAGTGGAAAATGCCTACCCCTCAACCCATTCATGGGCAGTCATACAAAAATAAGCCAATGGAATCTATTCTGTGCCCAGCCTGGCTCCCAGTGAACTACTGTGGACCATTGGTAATAACGGAAATATAATCAGGTCCCTGATTTGGTTTGCAGTTTGGATTCTTGCTTAGGACATTAGGGTCCATATTTATAACTGCCTGGTTTAATAAAAAGCTGTTCCTTTAATTTTAAGTGCTGAGCAGAAAGAAAAGAGAAGGAGTGAGATCTTTTGAAATGTTACTAATCACTGTATTTATATACTGTACCTCAGAGGGAAAGTGTTTTAATCAAATTGAGCATGAGTCACCACCTGTCCCAGGCATAGCTTATGTCCTTCTTCATTTTTTCTTTTTTCCCCATGATATTTTAGTCAATACAGTTTTATGCTTGAATATTTCTTAAGCAATGCATTTAAAAACAAAGCACTTCATTGCATAACCATCTAATCTTGAAAAGAATAGATGAATTTATAATGCCACTTGGCCTGCATTCTGGAGAAAACGTTAAATGAAGTAAACTATGGTTTTACAAAAGGTAGATCATGCCAAACCAACCTGATCTCCTTCTTTGAGAAAGTAACAGATTTTTTAGACAAAGGAAACGCAGTGGATCTAATTTACCTAGATTTCAGTAAGGCATTTGATACAGTGCCACATGGGAAATTATTAGTTAAATTGGAAAAGATGGGGATCAATAGGAAAATTGAAAGGTGGATAAGGAATTGGTTAAAGGGGAGACTACAACGGGTCCTACTGAAAGGTGAACTGTCAGGCTGGAGGGAGGTTACCAGTGGAGTTCCTCAAGGATCGGTTTTGGGACCAATCTTATTTAATCTTTTTATTACTGACCTCGGCACAAAAAGTGGGTGTGTGCTAATAAAGTTTGTGGATGATACAAAGCTGGCAGGTATTGCCAATTTAGAGAAGGACAGGGATATCATACAGGAGGATCTGGATGACCTTGTAAACTGGATGAATAGTAATAGGATGAAATTTAATAGTGAGAAGTGTAAGGTCATGCATTTAGGGATTAATAACAAGAATTTTAGTTATAAGCTGGGGACGCATCAATTAGAAGTAACGGAGGAGGAGAAGGACCTTGGAGTACTGGTTGATCATAGGATGACTATGAACTGCCAATGTGATATGGCTGTGAAAAAAGCTAATGCGGTCTTGGGATGCATCAGGAGAGGTATTTCCAGGAGGTTTTAGTACCGTTATACGAGGCACTGGTGAGACCTCACCTGGAATACTGTGTGCAGTTCTGGTCTCCCATGTTTAAGAAGGATGAATTCAAACTGGAACAGGTACAGAGAAGGGCTACTAGGATGATCCGAGGAATGGGAAACCTGTCTTAGGAAAGGAGACTCAAGGAGCTTGGCTTGTTTAGCCTAACTAAAAGAAGGTTGAGGGGAGATATGATTGCTCTCTATAAATATATCAGAGGGATAAATACCGTAGAGAGAGGAATTATTTAAGCTCAGTACCAATGTGGACACAAGAACAAATGGATATAAACTGGCCAGCAGGAAGTTTAGACTTGAAATTAGAGGAAGGTTTCTAACCATCAGAGGAGTGAAGTTTTGGAATAGCCTTCCAAGGGAAGCAGTAGGGGCAAAAGATCTATCTGGCTTTAAAATTAAACTTGATAAGTTTATGGAGGAGATGGTATGATGGGATAACATGATTTTGGTAATTAAATATTCATGGTAAATAGGCCCAATGGCCTGTGATGGGATATTAGATGGGGTGGGATCTGAGTTACCCAGGAAAGAATTTTCTGTAGTATCTGGCTGGTGAATCTTGCCCATATGCTCAGGGTTTAGCTGATTGCCATATTTGGGGTCGGGAAGGAATTTTCCTCCAGGGCAGATTGGAAGAGGCCCTGGAGGTTTTTCACCTTCCTTTGTAGCATGGGGCACGGGTCACTTGCTGGAGGATTCTCTGCTCCTTGAAGTCTTTAA